CTGCAGTTGGATAGGTTTCGTACTCTGGTTCTGTACACTTCGATCTACCGCCAGTTAACTTGGCACCGCCAAAGGGACTGTAGTACCGCTCAAATTTCAACGGAATCAAAGGGCTTTCTTGTAGTCCACATACGCAAGGCACAGTGGCGGATTATAATCTTCGGTCTTCTGTACAATGCCTTCGGCAATAGTATGTATGTATGTGGTCTCTTGTAATAGAGCGATTTCGGAAACCAGCTTGTTTAGGAGGCTGGAAATCGACGAGTCTGCGTGCGAGACGCTCAGAAAGGAAATCATTCAGTTGTCTTCAACAGTCGTTTTAAGGTGCTGGAGGGCTACTCTAATCTCGCTCAGACTGACGTCCGCGATCTCTTTCTCTTGAACCGTTATTCACACTTGTGTATGGCTCTAACGATGACAGCTGCCCGTAGAACCACTCAATCTCATTTAAAATATCAGTCTTTGGCTTCGAAATTTAGTTTTCAGCTCCGACAGTTGGCTCTTTCTGCCAGACATATTTTTGACAACGACTTTGAGCCTTGGTTCCGCTTGATCATTTCTTCAATGATATGTAAAATAATCAAAAAATGCATTTGGAGATCTTTCTGTTCAGTTGCCTGTATGCTATCATATCTGCTAAAAACTGCAGCTTTATTTCCCGACTAACAGCCATGAGTTGAAGTGTGTTCGGAGAGTTTTTCAGTTCTTATGCGGCGGGTCTTGCAGACCTTAGCTCCGATAGCATGGACAGTCTCCACAAGCTTGTCATTCATATCGTTCACTGTATTGAAGTCTTTTATGCACTAGAAACTATGTTGTAACTCAAGCCATAAGTATCCGGGGCCTTGGAATAAAACACGAGGGATACGGAGCGTTAAATTCATGAGACGTGACCTCTCCAACCTAATGTTTGGGTTCAGTGATTTCCCCCCTAGCAATCACTAAGACATCACTAAATAGTTGCCGTCTGGTTATCATTATGAAGTCAATCTTATTTTCGTCCAACCGTCGGGGCTTGCCCATATCCATTTTCAGTGGGGCGCTTCTTGAAAAAAAGTTCATCAAAAAGAGTCTCTTTTTCGCCATGAAGTCATACAAATATAAATAATTTTAAAATATTTTAATTAAATTAATAAAAACTCGATTTTTAGACTGCAACTTGAACTTTTAGTCAGGAAGACAGATAGTTTTGTATAACTTGTAAATCTGGCTTCGTAAATGTCAAACTTCTCATCAAATCTTTGATTTTTGGGAAAATATATCTACACCCCTTGGTGCGAGGTCTGGACTGTGTATGGGATAGGTCAAGAGCACCACATTTTCAGAAGCCAAAATTAATTTGTTTTGTTTGCGTTGTGCGCCCAAGAATTTTCATGGTGCAATAGGATGTGATTTGTTGGTAGTTTTTCCCCAAATTTCAAAGACATTGGTCACTCAAATGCACCACTAGTTGTTTACCAAGTCTCTTAGTAGTACTACTTAGTGTTAACTGTGTTTTGTTCATTAAGTACTGCAACACAACTGGCAAGTTCTAGTGTGATGAAGTAGTATGATGTAATCTCTTTTAAATTTGACTCATACCAAATACTAAAAATTTGTCGCTTGGCAGTAGCCACATTTTCTTCAGCGACAGAAGTTGCGAATTGATCATAGAGAGGCACATAACCACGATCAAATTCTGCGTATCAATCAACGTCTTACGGTGCTTAAATGTAACTTCCGTCTTGCAAGCAGTTTGAAGTCGAGCAGTACAGTCCTGTGAGGAGAGTGAGCTTTTGAAATCATAAAAAATTATCGCCATAAAACGCGTTAACTCTATTTTTGCTAAGGATGACTAATTTCAACTAGTCACAAAAAATAGTTGATACGCAAATTTTCGCCAAAAATATTTCGATTTATACATGAGTTTACATGAGTTTTACATGAGTTTCTCATGTTTTAAAAAGTATAACATTCGAAATTAAAACATTTATGAGTGACCAGGAGCGCAGGACTTTTGGTGTGCCTCATGTAACATATATCAAATCGATACGATATTTTCTGGTTGAAGTTGTTTCTCTATAAATTTAATTTATTGTTATTTATTCTTAAAAAGTGGACTCTAAGTTCGTCTATCACTATAATGTTAATTATGATTTATCTATAAATTGGCTATTTTACACTGGGAGTAGACGGTTCAAAAACTTTGTCTATGAATTTACACAAGTAAAGTGAAAAAATATCTGTAAGAAAGAAATATAATTCCAAACGTCTCTCAAACAGAACGGAATACGTAAAATGGTAAAACATCTGTAAAAAAGAAATATAAAGCAGAATTAGAATATCTCTCAGATCTGTTTCAATGCTCTCTGTCCTAATTTCATCCCTATTATATTATCTTTTCACATTAATCGATCGGTTTTGATTTGCAAGTCCAGCGGAATGCGTGGCATACAATGTAAAATTGGTATTAATGTTACGATAAAATAAAAACAGCGCGTTTTTTCTTGTATTTACAATTCAAATTTGGATTACATTTGGTACACAAGAAACTTCGATCGATTTGACGGTACATTTTTCACATTAACATTTTTCAACGCTTATACTTAATGTAAACTGTGGATTATATTTATAATGTTTATAACATCATGGAGGAGGCTTAAAAACAGAATTGCAATGATTGTTTTGCACAAAGTGGGCACAAATCCATTAGTAATTTTTAAGACGTTTTAAAATGTATAAATAAGCCGAATATTTGTGCATCACACTATCGACAGATACACCAATAATTCCTCTGTCAAACACCGGCAAGGATCGGTGCAACTCCTGCCATTAGTATTTACGTAAGTAGAGAAGCAAAAATATTCTTGCGTCAAATGAAGACTTACGATAGGGGTCCTAGCGTCACGAATAATTAATTCACTAAGCACTCATAATAAATAATAATAAATTAATTCAGTAAATAATAATAAATTAATTATAAATTATAATATTATTCAGTAAATAATAATAAATTAATTATTAAGTAAATAATAATAAATTAATTCAGCAAGCACTCAGCTTCAGGGCTTAAGCCTGCCAATACACAGGATGTCTTCAGCTTAAGAGCTTGGATCGATCCATGGATCCATTTTGAGGTCCGTTATTAAGAAACCCCGTAGCTTAATTTTTGTATAACAAAGGTGTAACGACTTTTGGGCAAAGTTAATATAAAGCTTTTCTTGGATCGTAAAGTGGAATCGGTCAGTGATACACTTTTCAAAAATGTTCCTTTGACTTTCTTGCAAGACTTTGCTCTCTAAGTGTCCCAAGAAAACGAACAAGAAACGAACTACTCAAATCAATCTTCGCACAATGATGTTTCAAACTCAATTATAGCCCAACTGGCCTTCCTTCAATATTTGAAACCGTTGATCTACAAATTGTGGCATGTCTTACTTACTAAGAGGACATGGCCTGCTCAAAACTATACTTTGATATTGAGTCTTTTAATAAACCGTTACAGTCAGCAATTGCTGGATTCGTTTCGAAGATAGTGTGTAAATCCATAATTCCGTGGCCAGATAGATTAAATCCTGTATCGAAGCCAGTGGCAGTCATTTTGAATTAATTTAACTTACGCGTTATTATTATTTATTAAGTATTAAACTATTTCTTAAAAATAAATAAATTTTAATAGTGAATTATTTAAATTATTACTTAATAAATAAGTAAATTAAACGCGATAAAATCCGTATAAATAGTTTTATTCAACGTGTAGTGTTCGCGTAAACTTAAGAAATCATCATTTTATTATATTACCGTCTAGTGGCGTATCAAGAATATCCACTACCCAATATCGCTTTGTGAGTATAGTAGAGGTGATGGAGGGAAACAAACCGAGATATGGGTAGCAGGCTGTTACTATAACAACTAGAAATTAACTTACAATTCCAAAATTAACATAAAAACATTAATCATCATTATCATCATAATTACAGCCCTTCACAAGTCCACTGCTGAACATAGGCCTCCCCCAAGGAATGCCACAAAGCACGGTCCTGAGCCACCTGCATCCATCGACTTCCTGCATGTCTTACCAGGTCGTCACTCCATCTAGTGGGGGAACATGAATGCCTTTTCGAAAATTTCAAGAAATCAATGAAACAAAAACTGAAACGCTCACTTGCAAACAACATTTTGAACTTCTTTTATTAACGAAAAACTCACAAATAATTAATTTGTTTCTATAAAGTCAATCTATATAGAATATTGAGTTAATTTAAAATGTATAATTTTTTTTAATTTAATTTGTGTATATGTGACCATAAAATTGTAATGAGATAATTATGATATAAAAAATCAAAATTTAAAACTAAAACATGTATTGAGCTGTATGGTTCTAGTGAGAATACCAAGTCATAGTAATGAAATTATTGTATTGTCATCAGTTATTAATAAGTCTGCAAAATTTCAGATTATTTATAAAACTGAACGTGGATGCACATTGAGTTACAACATATAATAACAGTGTATGATAAATACATACGGGTCAAGTTAATTTATAGCGAGTAATAGATATAGAAAATATTTATAACCATTGCAAATAATTAAGTTGGGAAGTAGAATGTTTATTTTTATGGTCTTTCTGGTTTGTTTTTGGTCTTTAGTTTTACAAACCGTAATTATATTAGAGGTTAGATAAACAATTTTTATAATTTATTTTAAAAATAAAATGGTAATTATTCTGTGTAAGTGCACAATGAATATTATTTAGTTTTCAGAAATGCTGTATATAGTAGGTAAATTAATATTTATCTATACTCCATCCGTAATTTCATATCTTATATACTTACAGTATTTTTAAGAAGGTACAGTATTTCAAATCCCAAACAAACTTCTACTAAGTTACACACATCGAAAGTCGAGCTCTTATCCTGTAAAACCACACTTATCAACTGCTAGCACTAATGTTTTGCATTTTGTGAAGAAACAATTAAAAACGGCTATTCTCTAAACAAACACGATATTAAAGTTTCATGATGAAGCCGGGCGTTACTGGCGAAGGCGGAGATGCGAAACGCGCAGGCGGCGGGCGTCTGCGCCACCTGTCGCTTCCAGCGGGGCGGGTTGGGCTGTATCCGTCCGACAGCGATGCCGGCTTGCTCACGACTGCGGGCGCCGAGGCTGAGCCAGCCCGGGCACGTGGGCTGTTGGGCGCCGGCCGCCGCCCAGGTGCACCTGCACCCTCGCGCAAGCCCCTCGTATCCCCTCAAACCCCTTTAAAGCTCACGCTCATTGCTTACTCTTTTTTCACACAAAGCATTTTTCACTTCTTGCGATTCAGCTTTGCGCGTGCTTCTGCTCATATCGCAATCTTTAATTAGTTTTGTAATTGTCATCGTAGTAGCCGCTGATATACCTTCTTCCGTTCTGCACACTTACGTAAGGTGATGTTTAAAAAAATCTTCGTTAATAAATTAATAGAAAGTATTTGGAAGTTTGGAAACTACAGAAAGATCTCTTGGCTTCTGATTGAAGATGGTATAATTTACGCCAAACGTAAAATATCTAGACCTGCGAAGAAAAGAAGTGCTAGTGTGACAGTAGTAGATAAGTGCAACTGCTAAGTAAGGTGATTTAGGCAAATCCTCACTATGGGAGAGGCTTGTTAGACTTTCGGGCCGAATAATATGACTGTACCAAAAGCTGCCCATTTTATGTTATGATACTAGTTTCTCCACAGAAGGTTTTTGCCTATTTGTATTCAATTAATACTAAAATTAATATTAATAAAATGAGACGCTATTTAGTAATTTAAATGTACATAAGTAATAAATTGCTAAGAAGGGGTCTAGGGGGTGCTAAGAAGTTAGTTGCCACCTGAGACGACTTGACCTAACAACATTTAACGCACTCATCCTGAGGACAAGTCGCGCTAGGAATTTATAGGATTATCAGAAGTCCGAAGAGACGGGGAGGATACGGTAATCCTTGAATGCGGAAACTTGTTTATCACTGGGAGGGTGACCCAAGGATGTATCACGTGTACCGTCCACAAGTCTCTCGTTAACAACGTTGTAAGGATTGTGAGTGTGTCGACGAGGGTTGCGACAATTGGCCTTTTCTGTTACGTTTCCTTCTTCTCATATTATAATCAGATTCAGCAAACGGTATTTATTGAAAGTCACACCAATATTGCCGGTGATGACTTATGGATAGACGTGGTCCTTCACTGCTGGCCGAATAAAGAAATTGAGGATATCGCAATAGAACCAGAGTGTCAGATATAACACAACTGATTAGTAAGCTGAAGTGGCAATGGGCCAAACATATAGTCATATAGCTCGAAGAACTGACAACCGATGAGGGGAAAAACGTTCTCGAGTGGCAGGCTCGTACTAGTAGGCGTAGTGGGCGACCTTCTTGCATTCGTGACTTGTGGCATTCCTTGGGGGAAGCCCATGCTCAGCAGCAGACTTGTTAAGTGTTGTAATGATGATGATGATGAGTAGTAATAAATTATTGAAACATAAAAATGTAGTTTTACCGACTGATTTAATTAGGGTCAACTTTTTACGAAGGAGTTTGTGATGAAAATATAAAAGCTTTGATTGTTGAGTTTATAAAGCTATTTATAACTACCTTAAGAAACAAATTAATTAAATTGATGTTAAGTCCGAAACTCGTATATTGAATAAAAATTACATATGAATTCACTAAAGCTTGAAAATGTGTCGAGGGTAACTCACGTTTTCAGTTTTTGTTGTCAGAAAAACGTCCAAGAGAACATTAGTTAAAGCTCGGTGCTCTGTAAAATTACTCGTTTAATAAGGAAAACCGTGGCAAGTCGTTATTCAATGAAAACGATCCTTTTTGAGCTCTCATTGCATTATACCTATGTATGTTTAATTTTATGAATCTTAATTAAAAAGATCGTAATTTTTTTGTTGCTTTATTTATAATATATATTGAATGTAATTAAGATAGAGTAAAATCAAATTTAAGAAATAAAAAAGATAATTTAATTCTTGAATGACCCGCGGAAAGATATTAGACACATCCAATATTGATTGCGCTAATTGTAATTCCATCAATAAGGGGGTCTTAAATTATTTTATTTTTATTAGATGGAGTGACGATGCAGGAAATCGGTGAATTATGTGACCCTGGATTGTTATTAAACGTTTTATTTTTAAACGAAACATGCTTTGTTATACAGTTTAATAAGAGAAAACGATGATCCGGTTTGACCTCTGACCGAAAAAAGTCCCCTTTATAAAATGAGCATACTATGGATAGTTTCGAAACGAATAATAATAGTTTATTCGATACTCTTTGAAATTTATTTTCATCACAAGGCACATATGCGACACAAGTCTTGAATTAAGTGTTATTGAATATTTTTTGCGGAGGTCATTACTGCACGCTTTTATGATAAGTTTGCCGGAAGGGGATACCGGTTAATAAACTAGTAATGTATAGTAATGTAGTCAAAGATTTAGTGATACTCGTAGAAACTGTAATGACCAGTTACCACAGTATGGCCTATCCAATCGAGTTTCTCAATTAATAAAAATGTACTGAATCCAGCAAGTACGGGATTTCGACAATGTATTTTTGTTAGTTGTTATTTTAATGTTCTAAAGTCGAAGGGCTTCGTCGAAGGGTTCAACAGTGTGTTATAAGTAATTAGTATGATGTCATAAGCAAGAGGGTTTTTTAAATTATATATTTAATTATATATTATAATAGTTATAGCAATAAAAATATTATTATTAAAATTTTATAATAACAAAACTATTGGGAAAAACTTGCTATCCTTTCCTATTTGAAGTTTGCACCATCAGTCCTGAAGTGTTCATCTTATCTTCGCCGACGTCAGCAGTCTGTCTACGTGTAACAAATGACTTTACGATGGGTTGACCTGATTTTTGGCGTACCTCAAGGTGGTATACTTTCTCCCTTAGTCTTTTCTGTTTTTATTAATTCCATCACATCCAATATTGATTGTTCATACTATCTGTATACTGATGAATTACAAATGTATGTACAGTCAGACATTTGTGACGTTCATAATGATCATCATCATCATTACAGCCCTTCACAAGTCCACTGCTGAACATAGGCCTCCCCCAAGTAATGCCACAAAGCACGGTCCTGAGCCACCTGCATCCATCGACTTCCTGCATGTCTTACCAGGTCGTCACTCCATCTAGTGGGGGGTCGCCCTACACTACGCCTACCGGTACGAGGCTGCCACTCGAGAACCTTTCTTCCCCATCGGTTATCGGTTCTTCGAGCTATATGGCCGGCCCATTGCCACTTCAGCTTACTAATCCGTTGGGCTATGTCGGTAACTCTGGTTTTACTGCGGATATCCTCATTTTTGAGTCTATCACGCAGAGAAACTCCAAGCATAGCCCTCTCCATAGCTCGCTGAGCGACCTTAAGCGTCCTCATACGGCCAGCAGTGAAGGACCACGTCTCAGATCCGTAAGTCATCACTGGCAACACGCACTGGTTGTACAATCTAGTTTTTAGAGATTGAGGTATACCTGACGAAAAGATATGTCGTAATTTCCCGAACGCTGCCCAGCCGAGTTGAATCCGTCGATTGACCTCTCGGTCGAAGTTGGACTTACCTAGTCGGACTATTTATCCCAGGTAAACGTACTCGTCAACAACTTCGAGCATAGTGCTTCCAACAACTACCGGCATAGGTGTGACATGGACATTAAACATGATCTTTGTTTTGTCCATGTTCATCTTAAGACCTATCCGTTGGGAGGCACTATTGAGGTCATTGAGCATAATGCTTAAGTCCTCCAGCGATTCTGCCATAATGACTATATCGTCGGCAAATCGAAGGTGAGTGATGTACTCGCCATTGATGTTAATACCGTATCCTTTCCAGTCCAGTAGCTTGAAAGCGTCTTCCAACGCAGCGGTGAAGAGTTTCGGGGATATATCATCACCCTGTCTTACACCTCTCTGAAGTTGGATAGGTTTCGAACTCTGGTTCTGTACTCGGATAGCCATCGTAGCCCTACTGTACAAACACTTCAGCACTTCGATGTACCGACAGTCAACTTGGCACCGCTGAAGGGACTGTAGCACCGCCCAAATTTCGACGGAATCAAAGGCTTTCTCATAGTCCACATATGCCAGGCAAAGTGGCAGATTGTACTCTTCGGTCTTCTGTACAATCTGCCGCAGGGTATGTATGTGGTCTATGGTACTGAAGCCTTTTCGGAAACCGGCTTGTTCGGGAGGCTGGAAGTCGTCGAGTCTGCGTGCGAGACGATTCGTAATGACTCTCGAAAATAGCATGTAGACGCGGCTCAGAAGGGAAATCGGTCTGTAGTTCTTCAAGAGAGCGTTGTCGCCTTTCTTAAAGAACAAAACCACCGCGCTTCTGCTCCACGCCTCCGGAGTAGTGCCACCATGGAGGACGGAATTGAAGAGCTTCCGAAGGACTTCAAGTACCGGTTTTCCACCCGCTTTCAGAAGCTCCGCTGTAATTCCATCCTCGCCCGGGGCCTTGCCGTTTTTAAGGTGGTGGAGAGCCATTCTAATCTCGCTCAGACTGACGTCCGGGATATCATCGGAATAGTGTCGGATAAGACTTGCTCTTGGATCGTTACTCACACTTGCGTGTGGCTCCAACGATGATGTGTACAGCTGCCCATAGAACCTCTCAATCTCACTCAAAATCTCAGGTGTCCCGGAAACGATGTTGCCACACTCAGTCTTCAGCTTTGACAGTTGGCTCTTTCTGGCAGACAGATCTCTGGAAAAGACTTTGGAGCCCTGGTTCCGCTCGATCGCTTCTTTAATACGAGAAGTATTATAGTTGCGTAAGTCTCGCCGCATGCATTTGGAGATCTGTCTGTTCAGTTGCCTGTATGCTGTCAAATCTGTTGACGATTGCAGCCTCATCTCCCGTCTAACAGCCATGAGATTAAGAGTGTGATCGGAGAGTTTTTGTGTTCTTCTGCGGCGGGTCTTGCAGAACTTAGCTCCGACCGCATGGACAGTTTCCACGAGCTTGTCGTTCATATCGTCCACTGCATTGCAATCTTCTAGGCACTGGAAGCGGTTACGTAACTCGAGCTGAAAGGTTTCGGGATTCTGGATTAGAGCACGAGGGGGGACGGAGCGTTGACTTCATTAGACGAGACCTCTCCAACTTAACGTTTAGGTTCAGTGTGCCTCTAACCATTCGGTGATCGCTGCCAGTTTTCACCCTTGCGATCACTGAGACATCACTGAACAGTTGGCGTCTGGTCGTCATAATGAAGTCAATCTCATTTTTTGTCGAACCGTCGGGGCTCGACCAGGTCCACTTCCTGTGGGGCCGCTTCTGGAAGAAAGAGTACATCAT